TGGGTGCGGGTGGCCGACGGCGCGCTCCCTTGCCCTGTGGGCCGTCGCACGCGGCTCTCCTGGGCACGCGTACACGAGGCATCTCCTGCCCGCTAGTGTAACGGTGCGTCCCGGGCAGGGATGCTGGGCGCTCCCCTTGTGCGAAGGCGGGAGACTTGCAGGCCTGCGTGCCCGCTGGCCGCATGGGGTGTCAGGTATGTGTCCGGGGGCCATGCTGAGCTTGGGCAGCTGCAAGGAGGGCATGCTGTCACATGCACCATCATTCATAGAAGAGGCATTCTGAAAGAGCTGTGTTGCTGTTACAGTCACAGAAGGAGCAGTGTGTGCTGCAGCAGGGGAGTGTATTTGTGGCAGTCAGTACAAAAATTTATGCTGGCTTCCCATATGAGTTCCAGTAAGGATTGGGCCTGTTTTCAGTTTTCCACAATTACAGGGATGTTTGATCAAGCTGGGGTGCTGCAGAGAGGAGCTGTGAATCTAGGAGCAAGGATAGGGATTTTTTTTTTTATATATTTTTTTTTTACATCACTAGTACCACTAGTACTGTTAATTCAGCTGGAGAAGTGCTGGACTGCAGCATCCCAGGAATTGTACAAAATAGCCAGACTACTTAATTGTCAGTCTTCTGAATTGTCCTCCCTCCATTTGCATGGCAGAAGGAGGAATTGTATCCTGATTTTTGACTCTTTGTGTGAAAATCCAGTAAAATCGACTGCAAAAATGGTTATATGGATAATTAAGCCTTTTTCTGAAATTTAGTGCTAAGCTATCTTAGTTCCTTGAGTTTTCTTGCGAGTATTGGCAGCTGTAATTCAAACTGTTATCTACTTGGTTTTAAATATTTTGCTTTTGGAATTAAAATGAAAAGGGTTAATTAAATTTCATGTTTACGTGTTTTTTTAGGGAAGTATGTAATGGTGATGGGTGTGGTGCGGTCCTGCAGTCCTGAGCCTATTCTTCGAGCAATAAAGATGACGGATCTTTCTGAAAACCCCATGCATAAGAATATGTGGAGCCTTGAAGTGGAGGATCTGCACAGAGTCATCCCCTAGATACTTTTCTTTCTGCCTAAAATAACTGTAAATGTACTCTCTTTGGTTTGTTAGGGTTTTTTCCCTTTTTTTTTTTTTTGTGCGCAGAACATTGGGCCATTCTGTGTATTTGCACTTTCAAACAACCACCAGTTACTCTTGGAGTGAACTGAAGAGAGAAGTAAAACTCAGAGTTAAGTGGAGGGATCTGTGCATATCTGATGATAATCACAACGTTCGTCTCTTTTTATGCCAGAAGATTTGAGAAACATTTGATATTTTCTGAGTAACCTGTCTATGCTATCAAGGCTATTACATGTTTGTACACGGTAGTTGCTATTTCTAACAACATATGTTTAGATAGTCATTCCTATAGCATTGTGTTCTTGGGAGCAAGAGCTGCACAGGACTCGAGTTACCAGCGTGAATTCGGTACATGGAATGAAGGCAAAATGTGTTTCAGTCCGTTTAGATTGTGGTTAGAAATAACATCTTCACCTGTGTTTTGTCTTTCAGTAATAACCCTGTCGGTAAACTCGGATTTGTAAGACAGATGTCTCTTTCTAACTGTAAGCAGAGTCTTGTACTTAAATACCTCTCTGGTTTCTGTGTTTCTGAAATACTGAAAGTGGTACAGAAATAACCAGTGTGTTCCAGTGAAGTGAAATTAACTGAAAAAGATGCAATGCAGGATTCCTTGGAATAGGTTCTCCAGGTTCAAGATGCAAATACTTTTACCACCTCATGAAACAAGCTTGCTGTGCCTAAGTGCATTTTTCTCTTTGAAGGTTTCTTGTTCCAACGTATGCTATTTTTAGTTGTTTAAGTAATTCTTAAGTATATTTTATTCTTATGTTTCTTTCATCCTTCTATTAAAAAAAAAACAAAAACTCTGCTTTTTAAAGGTTTTTTTGATTTGATTTCAGAACTCTTACTCTTATTTCCCCTCTTGTGTAAAGAGAATTTGAGTCCTAAAGAAAACACTGCATTATCTGTGTAGTATGGCTTTGAAGTTTGGGACTATTTTGTCCAGTTATGTTAACTAGGAATGCACATAGGAAGGGAAGATACTCTGTACAATTTAAGATCAGAATTAAGTGGTGGTAACTAAATTTTAAAATTGTGGAATTATGTTTTCAAAGCACATGGAAATTAAATACTGTCTTTTAAGTAATCTTTAAATGAGATCTTTACAGATTAAGGACTGGATTTTGGAGTGCAGTTCCAGCCTCAAGTTCAGTATTCCAAACCAGACCACATCAGAGGCAATTGTATAATGGAAGTCCTGTGCTTTGAGACCCTGCTGATGAAATGCCAAAACACACATACATACAGAATTTGGGCAGTCTGGGTTTATTTACTGTTTTTAATGCTGGGAAAAGATCCACTTGTAGAATGCTGTAGCCTTTCGGAAATGATCCATGTGGTCAGCATATTGGCTGGCAACTGTTTTTATCTTGTGACAGGTAACTTTTCCATCTGAATGCTTCTTATGCCAGGAGCCTGAAGCTCATTCCAAATAACCTTGCTATGCTTTCTAATTAGGCAGTAATGCCTTGGAAATAAACAGCTAAAAGGTCTGCTGCATCCTTGCTAGTGTTAGTAGATTTATGGCAGAATTAAATATGGCTTGTCATACATAGTTGGTGGGTGCACGATGTCATGGCTCTCAAGAGTGAAATGACTGTTAACCCGTTGGGCAGTGATGCATATTCACTGAATGAATCTGAAAAGTTCTATTTATATAGGATTAGGTTAGATTTGTAGAGGATTTCTTAGCATCTTCTACCACCCTCTCCCATCCAGAGACTCATGAGTCAAAGCATCTGGGGTTTCTTTGTTCACTTGCTTAGAGTCAATTCCAAGCCATTGCTTGATTTAGGGTGTTT